AAGCTGACTCTTTCATGTCCTCTGATAGACACTCAAAAGGTGGAGCCTTTTGAATGGGGGATGACTTCAGCACAGGAATTTCTTATTCTGGCAGGGTGCAGGTAAAAGTGACAAGCCCTGCCAAATGTTTTAAATGTCTCTGACATCCCCAGCTGCAATACCCACTCTTTCTTGTAGGTACCACTTCCATTTTATCAGTGTCTGCTTCTGAGCTACAGTTGTTCTAGTGGTCAACCCATTATCTCTCACCCACCCTGCTATTGGCAATGCAGTATGGATGGTGACTGGGTTCTTTCCTGTAATGGTCTCTGCATGTTGAAATGGTGTGTAAATCCCAAACAGGTACTTTTCTAGGAGCTCATATCTCTTCTGTGCCCCTGTCAGTTGCTTGGACTAAAATCTAATGGGTATTGTTATCTGCCCTTTCTTTTCATTTGGCTGCCCCAGACTCCAAGATATGGTACCATGCTGCTCTACTACATCCAGCTGAAATGGTACTCCTTGTCTCACGGGTCCCAATCCCTGATGCTGCAAAATGGCTTTTTTAGCAGGAAGGAGTACGGTCTGCTGCTCTGAATCCTATGAGAACTCTGAGAGTCTATTTCCTGGTAACATTGTATACAGGCCTCAGAATCAGTCCAAGATGTGAGATGATTGATCTCCAGAATCCCACAGCTCCAATGAACTTCTGTGCCTCATATTTGGTGGTAGTACAGTGCTTGGATAGTTTGCACAACTGTCTCTGGAATCTTCCTCTGTGGCCCAGTCCACATCATCCCCAAGAATTTCACCTCTGTGGCAGATCCTTGGACTTGGTCTCTGTTTATAGCCCATCCTCTGTTCTCTATGTGCTCGATCAGCAGGTGCAGTGCTTCAGTTACATCTTCTTTTGTCCCAGAGATCATGATGTCATCAATGTAGTGATGTAAAGGGTTCTATATCTGGACCCATCCATTCTGGAAATGTATTTAATCCGGTTATACAACCCATCTCACGTAATCTGGAAATACCTTCTCCATGAGTAGGTATTTTCCAGGTCACTAGGATTAGCGTATACTCGGACTATCCCATCTCTCGCGAGGTCCAACAGTGGAAAATTCATAGTAAACTCTTGGGCTTTTTGCATGGCCTGATGCAATTGTGGGCCATGGGTTAACACCCATAGCCACTGCTTCCTTGCCTGACAAAACAACACTGTCTGCCCCTTCATCCCACAAATGCGGAAGCCAACTCAATAGGGGTTCCCCAGACCTCTGTTTATATTGTTTTGCCAGCACATGGAGTTCAGTTTGTGTAAACTCCCTTACTTCTTCAAATTCCACATCTCTGGGCTTGTGGTAATGTACCTCCCCATCTGCCATATTCTCTCTATCATTGTTGCCTTTTCCTATTCTTAGTAACGAGAGGTTTTTCCCACTAGAAGATCATCAGACTCTATCTCCTCATCCTCACTAACATTTGAGGAGAGCACATCTTCGCAATCCCAGTTTTGAGATATGATTCAGTATAGAGAACATGAAGAAAATACTAACCTGTTCTGGACACTGTCCTGTTCTCTGTTTTTACTTAAATCAAACCCCTCAAAGCTAAAATCTACAAAATAATCTGAGACTTTATTATCCCAAGTCTTATTCAAAGGAGAAGCATACTTCGCAAATTCCTTAGCAAGAGGCATCAACTCATTCTTGTTTCTGGCCCAGGTAGAAAGAATGCATGCCTCCTCCTGGTCACCAGAAACCTCTGCAGCCTTGTTTTTCCAAAACAGCTTATGCAGCATTTTTAATTAGCACAAGTCACAGAACACACCACAGAAAACAGGTCTACTTCAGTTGAATATTAGCTCAAATCCTGGCATGAGCCCCTAATTGTTTTTGCTTTTTGTCTAGTAAGGTTACTTTGCATTATAAGCAAGAAAGCTTAGACCTCTGTGGTATATTAATGCTTTTACTAAACAGAAACAATTACAATTATAGAGAATACAATACAAGACTGACAGATATACCTATAATAAGCAATAATGTTCTGTATACAATAGTAATGTGCTGAAAAATTACTCCGTTTATAGAGGCTTCACAATCTCCATAGGCAACGTGGACCCTAGGCTTGCTCTAAAATGGTCACAGGAAATTGGCTTAAAAGCATCTTCAGGTTCTGGCAGATAACTTCCTTGGTGTTAAGTCATCCTAGAGTCTTCCTTTTCAGCATCTGTTGTTGGCTTTTGTTTGGAAAGTTTTACCATCCTATTTACCATTGTGGCTCCTTACGCAATAATGTGTTTCAATGGGAGAAACATTCTCCAATTCAGGTGGCACTGTTGTATCATTCATGCCATATATGTCAGAAGATCAAGCTATTGTTAACTATTGATTAACTTGATTTGTTGAGTTCATTGAGTACTGAGTACATTTACATAAGTAAATGTAGAACAATAGAAGAGTCCAACATGCAACAATGATATCTAAGTTCCCAGTGATATCTAAGTTGTTGTAGAAGATAGCTTGTGTAATTTGTTACCAAGACATTTGTTTGAGAAGTCCACTCAAACAAACTTGATGCCTGTTTCTAAGTAAAACGTATTCTTATATATATAGTAAGTCTGAGAATAAAATTAGAAAAAACACACACATATATACTGTATATATACTGTATTGATATCAAATGCAACATACACTATAATAATGGATATAAATCCTTCTGTGCTGCTAGTACCCCTAAAGTGCAAGAGTTGCAGCAAGCATCCAACCGTGATCCACACAGTGTAAAATCACTTGGGAAACGTAGCAGAGCGGCCATTTTATTGAAGTCCAAAATTGCAACTCCACATGGAAAAAAAATGTATATAGAATATATATAAAATTAGACCATATTAAATAAAGAGGGAAATGGCAATAGAAATACATAAACCCTATAATTTGCAGCGGCCATAAACAAGAAGACCACCTAGTGCGGCAGGCCACACAGCAGAACACCAGCCAAAGCTGGACAAAACATATATAATTAAAATAATAAAAATCCCTCTAATAAAAGGAACCACCCTGTGAAGGAGAAACCATTAAAACTAATTAAAAAGCAATAACAACCATCAAGGGTGAATGATAATTAAAAAATGATATAAAGGTTAATGCAAATAGATAGATGATAATAAAAAAAGGGACATCCTATAACAATCCCTAATGAATATCAAAGGATAACTGAACTAATGGGGACGTTAATAGAAATGCATGAAAATAATAAATAATCAAAAAAAGTTGAAATACCATAGACTAGATAACAAACAATAAAAATGCACCAAAAAAATCCCAATATTATTAATTACTAATGAAGCAATTAAGAACAAAATTTATATTGTGTCCTAAAGGGGCCATAGTTTGCATTTTATAAGTCCACCGCGATTCTGCCTGACTTAAGGTGCGAATATTATTGCTCCCTCTCCAGTGTGGTTGGAACTTCTCAATCCCCCAGAACAATAAGGAAGAAGGATCTTTGCCATGATGGATGGCAAAATTTCTAGAAACACTGTGTTTGGAATAGCCTTTTTGATATTTTGGATATGCTCCCTAAGTCTTTTCCAAAGAGGTCTCTTTGTTCTGCCAATGTATTGTGAGCCACAGGACATTGAAGGGCATACACAACTCCCTCTGATCTACACGTAATGACATCATTCATTTTAAATTCTAACCCATTACTATATGACAAAAAGGTATCCTGTTTGCAATTCTGGCCTTTGGTAGCTACACAGACATAACACCGACTACACTGAAAAAAAAAATTTCTATTCAGAAATGTAACCTGCTTTTCCTTCTTTGGAGGATCCACTACATTTTTCACCAATTTGTCTCTTAGGGTTGGAGCTCGTCTGTATATAAACTAAATATCTCCTTCAATTGTTTGTCTGACTTTAGTAATGGCCAATATTTTTTGAAAATACCCTCTATCTTCTTATACTGTCCAAGATGATATTTGGTCTCAAGATTCATCCTCTTTCTTCATGTCTTCAATTAAGCATCTCCAGTCAAATTTCCCCACTTCTTGTATTTCTTCTTCAGTGGACCTTGATTGGTATCCTTTACTAATAAAGTGCTCTCCTAGTGTTTTAGCTAGACATGCACAATACAATAGTGCTAAAAGTATTGGGACACCCCTCCAAATCATTGGATTCAGGTGTTCCAATCACCTCCATGGCCACAGGTGTATAAAATCAAGCACCTAGTGCAATAAGTCCATCCATGAAATTTCCTTGCCACTAAATATTCCAAAGTCAACTGTTAGTGGTATTATAACAAAGTGGAAGCAACTGGGAACAACAGTAACTCAGCCACGAAGTGGTAGGCCATGTAAAATTACAGAGCTGGGTCAGCGCATACTGAAGCGCACAGTTGCCAAAAGTCGCTAATTGTCTGCAGAGTCAATAGCTAAAGACCCCCAAACTTCATGTGGCCTTCAGATTAGCACAACAGTGCATAGAGAGCTTCATAAAATGGGTTTCCATGGCTGAGCAGCTGCAGCCAAGCCTTACATCACCAAGTGCAATGCAAAGCATCAGATGAAGTGGTATAAAGCACGCTGCCACTGGACTCTAGAGCAGTAGAGACGTGTTCTCTGGAGTAATGAATCACGCTTGTCTGTCTGGCAATCTGATGGACATGCCTGGGTTTGGCAGTTAACAGGAGAACGGTACTTGCCGGACTGCATTGTGCCAAGTGTAAAGTTTGGTGGGGGGCGGGATTATGGTGTGGGGCTGGAAGAATGGTCAAACATTCCCATAGACACACTCCTAAACCTTGTGGACAGCCTTCCCAGAAAGGTTGAAGCTGTTATAGCTACAAAGGGTGGGCCAACTCAATATTGAACCCTATGGACTAAGACTGGGATGCCATTAAAGTTCATGTGTGTTTGTTAAGGCAGATGTCCCAATACTTTTGGCAATATAGTGTACATACCCAGCTACTCCCCTTTCAGGTGAACTAAACCTATTAATCTAAATGTTTTTTTCTCCTGAATTTAGAAAATATAAAATAAAATTCATAAGCTTACAACTGGAAAACACAAAAATACATCAAAGTCCCAAAAATTATGGCCAAATCTTTGAGAATCGTATCTAACTTATTCCATAGCAGAGAAACCTTAACCAGAAAATTTCTACCATCTATAAAGCCCACTAAGGGCTAATAACAAGAGATTTGTTCAACCCAGTGTTGCATTGTAAATAAAGTTACCTCCACTGTAAGCCCTTTCAGTAGTGCCACAAACTGATGCCTTTCCTGCTTCAACTGACTATTTTCAGATTGTAACCTCAGTATTTTGGTTTTAAAAGGGACCTGGCTTTGACAACTATGGCCACCATGCCTTGGAGCACTACCCTGCCTGGCACCCCCACCTAGCACCACCCACCTCATTGCACCACGATGCAGTTTTAGGGTACTGAGAATTCCTTTTGTATATCATTATTAACCAAGCAATGTGACCTAACCTTTTACAGACAAAACACCTGAATGCAAGCTTCACTTCAAAGCAGGGGCGGACTGGCCATTTGGAAACTCGGGCACTGCCCAAGGGCCTGGGGTCAGTAGGGGGCCCCATGAGATGCCTCTGGTACCTTTTTTCATAGGCTTTTTTGAGTTTGGGCAAGGACACAGGGGCCCCATGATCCCCTATTGCCCGGGGGCCCCATGAGTTGTCAGTCCACCCCTGCTTCAAAGTTCCGTCTCTGAGCACATGGCCACACAACATTATCATGGTTGGAATCAGGAGACCTAACACTTTCATTGTCTGAGGAGCAGTCACTCACAATGAATTAATCACATGTGTCTACTGCTACAGTATTGCAATTTTCAAACAAAGGGTCAGATGCATTTTTCATTTCCACTCCTCAGTCAGCTTCAGGAGCTATTACAATACCTTTGTCTGAATACTTATCCAAATCACTAACACTGACTCCAACCATAGGAACATCATTTGTAGCAACAACAGCGTTATGCTTCCATAATTGCTGTTCCAGAGAATCTACCTGTGCTAAACACTGAGAATAATCAACCCCTGGACGTTTGGAGCATAACTCCATTATGGCAGCTTAGGCATCCTGTAACTCCTTCCTAAGCAATATTATAACATTCCCACCTTCTCTTTGTTCTAAAGAGGTGATGCATCATTCTCTCAGCTTACATCTTTCTTCACATTCATCCAATCTCTGTTCCAGTGCACACTTCTCAGTTACTAGTTCAATCTAATCTCTCAGTTGATCACATCCACAAACATTCGCATTTGCAGCTATTGTTGACATATTTTTGCTATTTCTAACATTTTCTATTTGTTCCCTTAGCCTTGCTTTTCAGCATACCTCTGCCACTCTTTCTGTTCAGCAATTTCTTTCACTCTCAATAACATGCTTACTAAGTTTTCTATTCTTGCTTTCTTTAATTTTTTAGATGATGGTTTATTTTTCATACTATCTTTTTGATTATCACATTGCTTTAACAAATCAATAAAATGGTGGGTCAAATCATCTTCTGCGTAAGCGGTAAAGCTTACAGAGGTATATTTCGGGTATATATCTTAAGCTGGACATACATGGATTGAAATTTGGCCAGTTCAGCAGGGACCAGCCACATTTCGATCCATGTATGGGCAGGGTGGTTGTACAGAAGTTGATCTATCAATTGACTTCTGCACAACCTCCCTGTTGGAAAATGTTCGATCAATCAGCTATAGCCTGCCGCACTGATCTGTGTATTATGATAGTGAGGAAGTCACAGTGGCTAAATGGTTAGCACTTCTGCCTGGCAGTACTAGGGTTGCTGGTTCAGGGTCACCACCTGCCTGGAGTTTGCATGTTTTCCCTGTGACTGCTTGGGTTTCCTCCGGATACTCCAGTTTCCTCCCACACTCCAAAGACATGCTGGTAGGTTAATTGGCTCCTGTCTACATTGGCCCTAGTATGTATATGTATGAATGTGAGAGTTAGGGACTTTCAATTGTATGCCCCTTGAGGGTTAGGGACTGATGTGAATGTACAATAGATATGTAAAGCGCTGAGCAAATTGACCTTGCTATATAAGTACCTTAAATAAATAAGTCTCCCCACTGTCAGAATATAAAGACTCAGCAGGGAGGATACCCACATTCACTGAAAAAAAAAAAAGAATAATCTATGCATTGAGCTGCCTTCAGAAAGTCTCCAACTACTCCCATTGTTATGCTAATGACAGTTGCAATGAAAGCTGCCTGACCAGTATTTTGCAGGAGAGGCTACTAAACAATCAAGTGATACAACAGAGAAATGCATAAACACAGTTTTTTCTAAATCAAGCTGGACTATATAGACTTCCAGACCAAGCCTTTTCTGGTACCTTTTGTTTACCTTTTGTATTTTTTACTCGAAAATTACTTAGAACCCCCAAACATTATATCTTTTTTTAAAGCAGAGGCCCTAGAGAATAAATTAATGGGTTTTGCAATTTTCTTGTCACACAGTATTGGCACAGTGTTTTTTTCATGCGCGCAGTTTTTTTTAATTGTAATGCAAAAAAACCCACAATACATAACCCAATTTTTTGTAAAATATAAAAAATTATGTTACACCAAGTAAGGTAATACCAAGCATGTCACACTTTAAAATTGCACCCAGCCGTTCAACAGCGACAAATTTCCATAGGCAACGTTTTAAAAGCCTTTACAGGTTATCACTTTAGATTTACAGAAGAGGTTTGGTGCTAGATTCTGTGCCCATGATCTGATGTTCGTGGCGATACCTCACATGTGTGAGACCATCATTGTTTGTGTGGATGCAGGACAGATGCATATGTTTGCCTTTGCATGCAAGCACAGGGATACGGGGGCACTTTATTTTTTACGCTGTTGCTTTAAAAAAATGTTTAATCTCTTTTATTGCTGTCACAAATAATGTAAACATCCCTTTTGACAGCAAAAGGGATGACAGGTACTCTTTATGGAGGGTGCTGGGGTCAATGAGACTCCAAATCTCTCATCTGCACTTTTATTTTTTAAAAGTGGCACTGTGTATTTCTGAGTAAACCGGAGGTTATGTCAGGTAATAGCTGGTGACCAGCTCTGCAGTCACTTTTGTAACAGTTGTTTTCTTATTCAGGGTCACAATCCTGTGCAATGTCCTTTTGTCTCTTTTGGTCAGTTGACCATGGTGACCACGACTATGCTTATCAGACATCTTTTCCCGGAAACTGTGTATGCCGTCATAACCTTTGATACTGTACCTCACGACATGGAAAATAAATTGACAACTACAGTCATAGAGGCGCCAGCTAAGTGGGCACCAACAATTTGCCCTCTTTGACGCTCAGTAAGCTCTAACTTGACTCAGTATTAGGAGCAGCCCACACAGTGAATGACAAGTGAGGCTTCTAGATATTTCATCACACAGCGGAAACAAAAGAATGTTACATCACTTCCACTTTCAAGAGACACTTTCAAGAGACATGTGGTCACTTTCACACCTGCAAATTATATAGTGTTTCCTGCTAAAAGTATTGAACACCTGCCTTTACACACACATGAACTTTAATGGCATCCCAGACTTAGTCTGTAGGGTTCAATATTGAGTTAGCCCACCCTTTGCAGCTATAACAGCTTCAACTCTTCTGGGAAGGCTGTGCACAAGGTTTAGGAAAGTTTCTATGGGAATGTTTGACCATTCTTTCAGAAGCGCATTAGTGAGTTCCCTTTAATGGAACTAAGGGGCCAAGCCCGACCAATGAAAGACAACCCCACACCATAATCCCCCCTCCACCAAACTTTACACTTGGCAAAATTCAGTCAGGAAAGTACCCTTTCCCCTGGCAACCGTGAAACCCAGACAGGTCCATCAGATTGCCAGACAGAGAAGCGTGATTCCTCACTCCAGAGAACACGTCTCCACTGCTCTAGAGTCCAGTGGTGGCGTGTAAGGCTTGGATGCAGCTTCTCGGCCATGGAAACCATGAAGCTCTCTATGCACTGTTGTGCTAATCTGAAGGCCACATGAAGTTTGGAGGTCTTTAGCTATTGACTCTGCAGACAGTTGGTGACTTCTGCACACTGTGTGCTTCAGCATGCGCTGACCGTGCTCTGTCATTTTACGTGGCCTACCACTTCATGGCTGAGTTGCTGTTGTTCCCAGTTGCTTTCACTTTGTTATAATACCACTAACAGTTGACCGTGGAATATTTAGTAGCAATGAAATTTCACAGATGGACTTATTGCACAGGTGGCAACCTATCGTGGTACCACGCTTGACTTCACTGAGCTCCTGAGAGCGACCCATTCTTTCACAAATGTTTGTAGAAATAGTCTGCATGCCTAGGTGCTTGATTTTATACATCTGTGGCAATGGAGGTGATTGGAACACCTGAATCCAATGATTTTGAGGGGTGTCCCAATACTTTTGGCAATATAGTGTGTATGTGTATATAGACTCTGCTAGTCTGTTACAGCTCTGATAATGTTAGCGATAATAGGAATAATAGGTATAATAACATACATAATGCTCAAAGAAGTAATGGTTTTATTTGTTTACAAAGAAAGTAAAGCACTAATACATAGAACTCTAAAGAATTTGCGTAAATCAGAATAAAAACAGGGATGATATGTTAGATAAGCCTGTCCTCAAGCTCCGTATTGTGCCTAGGCTCCAAGAAAAAGAGAGACAAAATAGCCTGACTTAGCATTTTATAACACATGCTCACACCTAAAACCACCCTCATCGACACCCCCACTCATCTCCTGTATAGTCCTCTGTCTAATCTGTGAATATCAGGGTTTATATTGCTATCCTCTATCCTCCAGTAGATAGTGTTGTTATACTGCAGGCAAATATCAATATTTAGGCCACAGCTTGCACTTTGATCTAGCAGTGAAAGCTCATCAACAGGATTACACAAAAAGGTGATTATATCAGGAGGTTGCAAATAAGGATTCATCACCTGGGAGAAGGTTTGCACATACCCCCCTGTGGTGGGTTAAGAAACTGATAATGAGCCAAGGTTGTGATACTATATAGGTAGGGGAAGGGAAGATATCCTCTAATCAGCTTCTAGAAACAACACTGGCCAGATTAGAGGATATCTTTCCTTTTCTTGTCCTTTCCTTTGGGTGATGCCCCACTGGGATCTTTGCAGTAACCCCTTCAGAGCTGGAGATGTGAATTTAAAGATATTACTGTTTTTGTCTAGACTGCCTCTGCTTTGTGGATGTCTATTTTTGAATCAAGTTACATAGATACACCTACTAGTTGTACGTTTTTGCAATTATGGAGGCATATGCTTACAAAACTCCCCCTCCCCTTTCCTCTTGTCCTCTTTTCCTGTTTTTTTCTGCCATGCTATACATCCCTTTTACAATGTATATATATGCTGTAAACTTGATTGTATGTAATTACTGATATGACATTATTGTATTGTAGCATCATTATACCAGTATTTTCTCCCTGAAGAAGGAACTCCATTCCAAAACATGTTGGGAATTATGGGAAGATTTTACTAAGCAAGAAATGTATCTATATTGTTGTATTTCTAAATACACTTGGGTATATGCTGGCTCAATTATTTGGTGTATCATATTGTATTTTACCTTTGTCCCATTGGCCATTTTTTTGGAATTAATAATAAAGATTCATTACTTGTTTTTTGTATTTCAATGGTTTTTATTAATTTTAAACAGTAGAAAACAGAGGCAACAAAACACACCCACGCAG